TTCGCCAATCGTCGTTGGAAGTGTTTGGTCCGACAGCCTCAGGCTGCGGCGAAACGACGTCCGAGATTTGCTCACACTGACGAAGGATGGCGGTCAACAACTCTGGGGACTAAGTACATGTAAGACCTGAGCGGTTACTTGTTCGCGAACACCATACCACTGCACGATTGAATTTCTCCTTCTCTTGTCGAGCAGCTTCCCACTCGTCGGGCAATTGGATTTCTTCCGGCTCGTCCTGAGGCGGTGCGCTACTCCAAACAGAGGCCCATTCATCATCCGGTCCGGCTAGAATCGTAGGGTCTTCCCATGCATCTAATTCGTAGTCTGTCTCGGGAGCTTTCGATGCCAATACAGTGCCTCCTGTTATATCATTCTCAGAGACAGCTGTGTTGCTCTCCGTCGGTCGCAATGCAGAGTAAGATTGGCTGTGCTCCACTGACAGAGGGGTATTCGTGGTACTCCCGACCTCCGAGGACGGGGGCGACACGGCTGAAGCGGGTTCACTTTGCTCTTCCCGTGGAGGGGGGCTAGGCTTCGCAGCCGAGGATTGGGACAAAATAATTTTCTCGTACGTGGACGGTGCCCATGCAGCCTCCTCCACATCTGACGGCGACCAGAGGGGGTCGCCTGCGTGAACTGAACTCGTCCATTCGGTGGCGTCGTGTAGAGACCACGATGGGAGGCCCAAGTCAGCTTCCTGATCGTGCACGGGTTCGGATGGTGAAGCCCAAGCATGCTGCGTGGACGTGAGTTTGGGCTGTTCCCAAGCATTAGCCCATGGATTGTCCATGCGGACCCAACAAGTATCGCGTGAGTCCGTGCACGCACTGTGAAATCAAAGAGAGACAGACATCATCGCACGTGATCCATTGTACACGTGACTCGCCCGTTCTGAATTGTCCTTCTGTCTCGGCTTGCAGAGCTGTGCTCGACGGTCGACTGCCAGTTAGTCCGCATTTGCCATGGCTTTGGACATTGCCAACGGCGATCGCAACATCCTCGAATGGGACGAGGACCAGGTTCATGAGTGGCTTTCTCAACGAGGCTTTCCACAGTACCACCAACAAATCAAAGGTGAGACTGCACGCTCATTAACAAGGGGGAGTAGTATTCATTGCCTATCTGTCGTAACGTTGTAACATCAGATCATCACATTGCTGGTGATGTGCTTTGCATGTTGGATGCAGAGTCCCTCAAGGCTATTGGTGTCGCCACTGTCGGCCAGAGAATAGCAATCCTCAAAGCGGTCTACCAGACGAAACTTGCGTGTCGTGTTCCGGTCGAGTCTCACCATTACATCCCTCCGTGTAAGCCTAAATACTATATAACAACCGACTCCTAACACTTTATAGCTGAAATTGAGGAGCGTACAATATCGGTCGAGAAATTGCAAGACCTCATCAGAGAGCAGGGTTAATTCTCTTCATTTCGAGGGTCCCCCATGTTCACCTGACACCTTTTCGCGCAGCCTTCCGCGTACAAATACTGGAGGAAGACAATAAGCGCCTGAACGAAACTCTTCAGCATCTTCTTGACGAATTCAATCATATGCGTGCTTCTACTAGATCTGTACGTAGGACCGGCTGTCATGCACATCATGGATCCGCGCTTACTGTTCTACTAGGATGAACACTCGCTGCAACGCCAGCCGTCCTTCAAGTGGGCTCACTTCGTCAATCCTACCAAATCACCTACCAAACCTGAGGTGGAATCGCCTCACCCTTCACCACAGCACATGGAACACGATAATTCTCAGGGTCGGTCGAGTCAGGTGAACCAAGTCCAGGCTCCTTGCTCGACCTCACGAGGGGTGCCTACGCCTCCAGCTGAGTCTCCCGGCGCTACGAGCCAGCAGCCGTCGGCCTCTTCCTCAAGAACCAATCCAAACCGCCAGGAAAGCACCGACAATCTCAAGAGTTTCAAGGTCAGCTTGGAGGACCCAACCTGGAAAGTTTTACCCGCTGCTCTGAAAAAGTACAAGATCAATAATGACAGCTGGCAAAACTATGCCATGTTCATTTGTTATGGCTCCCCTGGTGCGTGCAATTGTTGCAATCTGTGATTTCCGCGCTTAATAGTATGGCCTCAGGTAATCGTATTGAACGATGTCTGAGCTACGACGAGAAACCGCTGTTGCTCTTCCAGAAGCTTAAGGATGCAAAGAAGAATCCGGTTTTCATGCTCAAACATATCAAAGACATTCGATCTCCTATCGCCGTTGCGCAGCAAAAGCAAGCCATGCGGAAAGCTTCCATTACCTCCGAACATTCATCCAATCACAACAAGTCCTCCGCAACAAGTGAGGGGAAAAGCGGCTCACCCCAGCCCAAGCTGGAAGTCAATGAGCTGTCGCCCCCTGCTCCACCGCTGACTGGGACCACACCTCAACCCGGGTGGCCGGACGCCACGTCACCCACGACGGAAAACAAGTGCGGGGAAGATACAACCGGCAGTCGAGATACATTGTCATCTGCGACGACTCTCGTCAACAGTGCACAGCACACGGCAGACAGCATGAAATTTCGGGGCTCGACCACTTCTTTTGCGGATAGCGACAGTATTAGGAGGGAAATGCCGCCACCAATGGCCGGTGTATCGTACGCGGTTGCTATATACCCGTACATGGCAGAGCAAGCGGATGAGTTTGACGTTGTCGTGTACGTGCATTCACAGCATTTGGACATCGAGAAACAGTACTGACAGGAGTGCAAAGTGGTGATGCGTTCGTGATTCTGTCACGCGCCCGCGGCTGGTGGGTTGTCCAACGCGACCCAACAGGCTCCGGTGTCGTCGATACCGACACCACGAAGCAAGGTTGGGTGCCTGCGGGTTGCCTTCTCGAAACGAACGTCCCCGTCGCATCTGCGATAGCAGAAGCCACCGCGGCTGCGAGAGCATCGGGTGCCCCAGATGCTGACTCTAAGACGCCTATTCTACCCTTGAGCATCATATCCACGAGTTTCCCTGGTATCGCGCTGATGGATTACAAAAAGAAGGGAGAAGAGGAGCTCGATCTGGTGAAGGACGATGCCGTACGAGTGTTCAAGCGCTATAATCATTGGTCATACGTGAGTACATTCCCTATTCAGACATTCTTCTATTAAATTGTAAGCAGGCTGTGAAAGAAGATGGTGGCGATCGTGGTTGGGTCCCGGTATGTGTAGTTCGAAAGTATGGGTTTACAGCTCAGCTAACGATGTGTCAGTCGTGGTTCATTGGTAAAGCACCAACTCCAGGAGGTGCACCTTCCACCCCGGGTCCCGGTTCTGCGCCAGCCATAAGTGGCGGACCCTCATTGTCATTAGATGCTGGGGAGCCGGGCCAAAACCAAGTCTCACCAATGTCCTCTGCTTTCCCAGTGCAAACTCGCAGTGGGATAATGTGATTTGTATAATGATAATGATCCCCCCCTTTCCCCTCTTTTCATCACTGACTGTATCTATCACACGAAACGTTCTGCTGTGTCGACAACTCTCTTTTGGCTGGTACTCACTTTTCAATTGGCTCTATAGTTGACCTTATTGCTCTCGTCCGCTCGTTAATACTACGCTCTCCGATTCTTGCAGGTTTTATCAGATTTGGTACTACAGGGTTAATCTTATGACTTCCCCATGGCGCCGGAAGGGGCTTTTACACATCTTCCTCGTCATATGATCTTGAAAGCGCAGGCGTGCCACTCTTATTTTATTTGTTCGTACGGACAGTTGCCCTGTATCGTAAATGATCGTTGACCAAGTACTTCATCTGTGCATACGATGGGGTACCATGCTTGCTACATATCGTGAAAAAGGTACCCCAAGTGCGAAATAGCAACGCACTACAGGTCTGTACGGTAGGTTAGACTGATCGGCGGCACTCTTGGTCCTATCCTTTCGTATCCCGGATGCGGATTCCTGGGGCTTCCATGACGAGCGATAAGTACCATCCGGTTAGTCCCCAGACCTCCAACTTCTCAGTAACAGTCCTTTCGACAAGGTCGTGGCCGTGGTCTATATCGCCCTGCGTCTGAACGCGCCGAGGGACAAGATCAGAGACGTCAATGGTCCAATATGGCCGCGATGCGCGAAAAAGACTAGGTTTGAGACGTATCTGACACGCAAACGCAGATAGGGGGAGATGAAATACAGCGGCTACCTCTGGTTGGGAGATTACAAGCGAGTCAATGCTCAATGAAGGTAGTGGTGCGTCCGGCCCTTGGTCTGGGGAAGCGGTTCCCGGGGGATAGACAAAGCCCTAGTAGTACGCGTCAGGATGTTATATAAAAGTCGCCAAGCCTGCACCCGTACAACGTATGGCCATACATGTAAGCCTTTCAAGCTGCGTTCTGGGGGCCCAAGATGACCGAGGACGTCTATGCGGTCTGGAGGCACGCCTACCTCTTCATGGACTTCACGCAGAGCTGCGGCCAAGAAGGACGAGTCAGCCTGGCCGATCGTCAGCAGTGTGCAGTTGAATATTGAAACGTGCTGTCAGTTGCCATACTTCGTCTACTTTGCCACCTGGAAGACTATAGCTCGATTCCTCAGTGATGTTGATCTTCACATGATCAATAATTGCCTACATGCCTAACTTCCCCTGGGTGCGACCTCAAATTCCCCCTGACTTCAAGGAGTACCCCCGGCACGCCGTCCACATTACAGAGTGGAACGAGGACTGCTGCATGCGATTCGTTCGGATCGGGTCCGCCAGATAATCCAGCGCTCGTCGTATAGTCCGATAGTGCTGCCCGTACGGCGCCGAGGGAATTACGGGTGAATGGCGCTGTTTAGTGAGATAGCGGAATGGGTCATCGACGACGACGCCCATGAAAGACCTGTTAAAGAACATGTCCCATCCAAATACATTCACACCAGCCCTCTTATTTCGATCACAGGATACTGACGTTCAAAATGTGTACCGCGTTGCGAAGTCGTAAGTATCGAAACCAAGTCGTTGGAGATAGACTATTCGATGGATTCCGTTGGGAAGGGGGGGAAGTTCTAAACAGCAAAAAGAACCAGTGGCCAACGTGGGGATCGAACCCAAAGACCTTCGCGTTATTAGCACGACGCTCTAACCAACTGAGCTAGTTCGGCCGACCGGCGGATTTGCGTGTGCCAACGTCATGACGGCTGCATTGGACTGACTCTCTGTGATCGGTCAAGGAGGCACATTGATGGTTTTTGAGGTGCCAAGTGGAGCGACCAAGAAGCATTGTTCAGACATCAAAGACCGAGACTGCACGACTTAAGACATAATTTCCCCGGGCGAATTCGAAAGAGACAACATGATACAAATTAGATACCTGTCTTCCAGCATGTATGTATAGTACATGTATCGCAGAGTGTAGGCCTTTGTTGAGTAGAGTTCAGAGCTAAATCGATGACGGCATTGACAACTAATGGGTACAAGAGCATGCCTGCAGCTTGCCCGGAACCAAAAAACTCAACTACGCGCATAACTGTCAGGGAACAAGACACGAGAGAGGGGTATGCAGGTCGCTCACATCTTCCCGTGTCAACTGCCCAATACCTAACGAAGGCCGATCAGGTCGGGTGAAAAAGAGACTATTGTCATTACGACACATACCAAAACATTAGTGGACGTCGTTGCATCCACCGTGGAAGACTTCTTCTCTTGGGGGGTCTTCCGCATCATCTCGAGCAGCAACGGGGTTGTCCGCCGCCACTAATCCTGTCTCTCCGCTTTCCGCCTCTGGACCCATATCTGTTTCTGTCTCCATTTCGGCTATCGCTCGCCTAGGAATCAAAATGAGAAGACGAAGAACGGGAAACGGAGAGATCGCACTGATATGCATCCCGACAGTCCTTCCTAATGCCACTTGTCTTCCAGCGTTGGCGACGTGATTGTGGCGCCAACAGTTCCGAATCCAATTCTTTACCCGAACATCAATGATGCACGGACAAATGATGTCGAGCTTGTCTTACCTTGATTTTCGCCCAAAAGTAACAATTTGCTGAGTTCAACCCATTGCCTAGAACGGGCGTTAATGATCTTAATCTCATGGTGACGATGCTTGGTTTACCATTGAGATGCTTTGTCGAAGAATTGGACGAGGTGTAATGGGCCGGTCTCGGTTCTGCGTAGTGTATCTCGCAGCTTCTTCACAACCTTGGGTATGCGTTCGTCGTCAGGTTCGTACACTACTGCTGGCCACCATGGGTAAGTGCCTAACAAGAGAGTCAGAAAAGCCCTCGCAGATGGGGGACTGAACACGCACTAGCTTTCGCCCAAACTACATATACCGTAATTAGTGCAGATATTGAGCCATCTGCTGATAACGTACCAAGCGTTCCACCCTCCAACATCTTGCCTTCCTCGAGGATGACGGATCCCGGTTCGCGATGGATGGGAGCTGTGGACGGCCCCGCAGCCGGCGATGGTTGATGCATGGGATCCATTTGCACTCCTGTGCTTTTTGAGTCACCGGTACTTCCGTCCTCGCTCTCCAGCTCACTAAGAGACGATAGCTCCGACTCTTCGTGGTTGGGTTCCGGGGCGTTGACCACGTGTCGTGACGCAGAAGCAGCCGCAGCCTTTTCCGCTTTCTTTCGCTGTGCCTTCGCTCTGCGAGTCGCCGGAGTATCCAGCTCCTCGATAACAATCCTTCCACGCTCGGTGATAACCTTGGTATGCGGATCAACCGGTATTGACGCAATGCGAGCGTCAAGTTCTTCTTGGGTCGGTTCTACTTCTTGGGTTGTGGCCTTCCTGACTGAGGGTTCCATCTCAGCCCCTGTCCCCGTGGATAACACCGAAGGGCCAGCGACTACTTCGACCGGAGCTGTTTCCTGAGGGACATGATGTTCTGACGTAGTCCCGCTGAGCATTGAGGCATGTGACATTCCGCGATCTGGAACGCGGATACGTCATGTAGGTGGTGTACAGCGGTGCTTGACTTACCTATCCGCGCCCGCTTTTTCGGGGGTGGTTGCGAAGATCTGTCCAGCGGCTGTCGTCCACCTCGTTTCTGGCCACTCGGGAGAATCCACCCGGCGTCAAACATCTTGAAGGAACCCTGGTTATCCACGTCTTCGACTACTTGTGGGACGACCAACGGGACCTGTGTAACACTAGATACACGCCGCCCTTTCGCGGGTTTCGGTTCCGTTGCATCATAGATTTCTGTATCGGCAATGCTGCCCGTCGCTTCGGCCTCAAACGCTGCCAGAGCAGCATGAGCGCGACGGGTGCGGGGCGCGCGGAAACCAGGAGATATGTCCAAAGCACTCGGTTGCCTGACTTTGTGTGCTTTTGTCGCTGCTTTCTTGGGTACCTTGGGCTTTGGTGGGGGAGGTGGCGGTGGCGGTTTGAGCTGGCCAAGCTCAAATTTAAACAAGGACGAGAGGGGATCGGTTTCTAGGATGAACTTATAGTCGTTCCGAATTGCTTCCGGAGATCCTAGCAATTCGAGCAGTTCTAATGGGGGCTCAAGGTTACCCATTGGCTTGTCGAGTGCCTGAGAATCGGGAACAGCGGCGACAACTTGGGAGTACAAGCTGAGAGTCGAGGAAAGATCGGCCAAGATGGGTTGAATACCAGTTTGCATGCGCTGAGCGGTCTTGTAGAAGGGTGTACCAGGCTTGTTATACAAGATAGCATTGGATAGGACTAGCTCGATATCATTCTGCGAAAGACTTTTCAGCCTGCTATCGCTGGGCGCCACTCTGAAGGACTCCTGACCTTGAATGCGCTCAGATCCCAGTATTCGTGGCGGTCTAGCTTCGCATCAATAATGTCCCAACTCATAGGCTTCTTTACGACATCATAATAATCAGGGACCTCTATCTTTGACACGGGGTGCTTAAACAGACCATTCCGATCGAGCCTATGTGAACGTGAGGACCAATAGGACAACGGAGCCAACGAGCTCACGCAAGGATTTTCTCAAACGCTAGGCGCATCGGCGCCTCGTGCGGGAATAGAATGACTTCCAGTACTCTGTGGATTGACTCTAACTGGGCGAGCTTACGGCTCTCCCGCTTGCGACTCAACAGAGTGAGCTCGCGAAGCGTCTCGAGGTCCTTTCGGACCCGTCTCAAATGCTGAACAGCTGTTAGCCAGTGGAAATAGATAGCGTTGTTGCGGCATACTTCGAGTTTCAAAGCCTTTTCCTCCTCTGTCTGCACCTTTCCGACATTGGAAGCAGTCCAAGGTTCGAGATGAAGCCGCTTAAGAAGAGGTGCTCCCCGCCTCGCTTCCCGTTTCAAGCTCCAGTACTTACATACCATGTAGATAAACTCGGGCTTCTTTCGGATAGTAATCTTGGTGATGTAGTTTAGGATGCGGTCGACAATAATTTGAGGAACCAAAGGTGGTCCCGTCTTGTACGTCTTTGCGTAGGCTCTCGCAGACTTGGAGAGCTTGGAACTTGGGCTTGACATTACACCATCCGCAGCTAGAGCCTTCAGCCTAGCATCTGCTTGCTCTTTCTGCAGCAGCAACACACGTAAAGCAGGTCTATGAGATACAAACGAACTAAATTCTTACAGTGAGGTGCTTTTCGCAGTAACAAGTCAGCGTGACAGGTTCGGAACCTTGCATGCTTTTCATCGGCATAAGCAACTTCTCTTTCCTCGCACATGTAGCATGAAATGCGAGAAAGCATGACGATTTCGTACACTGAATACAGGCTCCTTCGCGAATGCCGCATATTGAGCATTTCTGAGTGGGTAAGTTCGCAAAAAGTTCACTTCGTCAGACAAAAGTAATGAGGGACTTACTAACTTCCATCTCTGTTTTGGAATCCTTTCGGAACCTGATATCGGTTCCATGAAGACTTCGTTGGCTACACGAGTCTCCGGAATCCAAATGGCACAGAGAAGATGAGCCCACTCCCCAAGAACCGTTTGCTTGAACGCGCCTCCCTCGTTTGGACAGAATATGCAAGACTATGGGAAGTTCGGCGAGGAGGCAGTCATGCAAGCTGGATAAATCCTTACAACAGGGTTTTCTGGTGACACCGTACATTTTCGACAAAGCCACTGACCCTCCGGAATGTATGGGACACCGTAACAATCTGGACAACATCACAAAAGAACACAGAACGTTGTACGTCAGAGCGCACCTTGGTGTACAGCCAAGTTACAACCGTCACAGAAAACGATCGCGTTGCTGTTCTCCCCTTCCGGATCGTCACAGACGGCGCAGGTTGAGTCCTCGGATGGCATAGCATAGTCTGGTTTGGGGATATTCTTGGTCTGCAGGAGGATGTCGCGTGTCATTGGGCACCAGATGCGAGACACAAATGGGACTCGCCAAATCAAAGTACTCCTTCTCTAAACGGTCCATGATGATCTCGAAAGTCTCGTATGTGACCAAGTTTAGCTGGTCCTTCTTGCGTTCGACATTGATTGCGTCAAGCCACTCCTGGTCTGTCCAAGGCGTCGGAACGCGGTACGACACGCGCAGGAAATCATACTTGCCTTGCTCGTCCATATCATACTCCACCTGAGTTGCCAAGTCTCTTTCCAGAGGCTCTGCCGTACGTTGAATGCCGCGGCTGGCATCGATGGCGTTGACTCACCTATATAGCGAATGTAATGGTCTGGTTTCTGAAACTCCGAGAAGTCGTTGTCTGATGAGCAGTTAGATGCATAACGTATGAGGACAATTAATGAAAGGAGAGCGTACAGCCATATGACCTCGCTTGTAAGTCATGGACTCCGGCTGGTTGTGTAGAGTCGTCGTTCTGGACGATTTCGAAAGAGACTTTGGGTAGTTTGGCTTGCTCTGAAAGTTTCACGCCTCTGGCCATGAACGAAGGATTCCGAGAACAGCGTCAGCGCGAACACTGGGTGATACGAGGCGGCCGCGTTCCTACTACTACTGGACTTGGTAGTTGGCAGGGGGAACTCGGAGGAATTTCGACAAATATGGCAAGTCTCCGAAGACTCTGATTATTACAGTGATGACACCCCTCATATGCATTACCCAGCCCTGTACCCATGGTGCACTCCCAAGTCCCGGTACAGTTGGCATTCAAAGTTTGAGCACTGGCTTACCCCCCGAGCAGTACCTAAATTTTAACGACTAATAGGCGACCAGTAGTCGGCGAGTGGCAATTCGAGCTGCTT